CCTTCTCTCTTTTTTCTTGGCTAAAGGTTTGTCAGTTGATCTTTTCAAAGAACCAACTTTTGGGTTCATTCCATTTTCTGTTGTTTCTATTCCCTATTTCATTTATTCACTCTAATTTTTAATTCCTTTCTTTTACTTCGAGTTTAGTTTTCTCTTTTCTAGTTCTGAAGGTGGAAAAATCTATTGACTTGAGATTTTTCTTCTTTTTTATTTTTATTTTTAGATATCTATCTATCTATCTATCTATCTATCTATCTATCTTGAGATGGGGTTTTTCTCTTGTTGCCCAGGCTGGAGTGCAATGGTGTGATCTCGGCTCACCGCAAACCTCCACCTCCTGGGTTCAAGCAATTCTCCTGCCTCAGCCTCCCGAGTAGCTGGGATTGCAGGAATGCACCACCATGCCCGGCTGATTTTGTATTTTCCATAGAGATGGGGTTTCTCCATGTTGGTCAGGCTGGTCTTGAACTCCTGACCTCAAGTAATTCGCCTGCCTTGGCCTCCCAAAGTGCCGGGATTACAGCCGTGAGCTACCATGTCCGGCCTCTTCTTTTTTAATATAGGCATTTGTAGCTACAAATTGCCCTCTAAACACTGCTTTTGTGTTTCTGATTGCTCGTTTTTGTTTTTTAGAGACAGGACCTCACTCAGTTGTCCATGCTGGAGAGCAGTGGCAAATTCACATCTCCCTGCAGCCTCAAACTCCTGAGCTTGAGCTATCCTCCTGCCTTGGCGTCCCAAGTAGCTGGGACTACAGGTGTGTGCCACCATGCCTGGCAAATTTTTTAATTTTTTGTAAACAATGGGTCTCACTTTGTCACCCAGGCTGGTCTCAAACTTCTGGATTCAAGCAGTCTCAAGCAGTCCTCCCTCCTCACCCTCCCTCGGTGCTCAGCCTGCTTTTGTTTCTTTGGGGCTAGAGTACAGTGACGTGATCATGGCTCACTGCAGCCTCAACTTCCCAGGCCCAGGTGATTCTCCCACCTCACCCTCCTGTGTGGTTGGGACCACAGGCATGTGCCATGATGCTCAGCTAATTTTGTGTAGTGAGTGTGTGTGTGTGTGTGTGTGTGTGTGTGTGTGTATGTACAGGGTTTCTCCATGTTGCCCAAGCTGGTTTTGAACTCCTGGGCTGGGAGTCCCAAAGTGCTAGGATTACAGGCATGAGCCACCACACCCGGCCCTGCTTTTGTTTTTTAAAGTGAAAGTTTAGGTTACTGATTTGATGTGATCTTTAAAAAATATAGACATTTACAGCTGTATGTTTCCCTTTGAGCCCCACTTTAGGTACATCCCATAAATTTTGATTTTTAAAATTCACTTGCCTATTTTTAAATTTCCCTTATAATTTCTTCTTAGATATCCATTGATTGTTTAGGAATTTATTGTTTACTATCCAGGCCAGGCGCAGTGGCTCACACTTGTAGTCCTAGCACTTTGGGATGCTGAGGCGGGCGGATCACCTGAGGTCAGGAGTTCGAGACCAGCCTGGCCAACATAGTGAATGCAACTTCATTTCTACTGAAAATACAAAAATTAGCTGGGCATGGTGGCAGGTGCCTGTAATCCCAGCTACCCCGGGAGGCTGAGGCAACAGAGTGAGATTCTGTCTCAAAAACAAACAAAAAAAATCTACACATTCGTGAATTCATTTCTTTTGTTGATTACTGATTTCTATTGTTGTCAAAGAATATACTTTGAAGGATTTTTCTCTTTTAATTCACTGAGGCTTTTTTGTGGCCTATCTTCTGGTTTATGTTAATGTACACTTGAGAAGAATGTGTATTCTGCTGTTGTTCGGTGGGGTGTTCTATAAATGTCTGTTAAGTTTTTAGTGCTTGCTGATCAAGTCTCTCTAACTCCTTGTTGATCTTCTGCCTTAGCTGCTGTCTGTTAGGAGCCTGGCCCTGCCAACACCTTGATTCTAGACTTCCAGCCTCCTGAATGGAGACAGTTAATTTCGGTGTGAAGCCACCCGTTTCCTCTGTTATACAGCCACCCTGACACAGGCCGAATGAGCTTAACCTAGTGTGGAAATAAGTGGCAGCCTCAGATAGCGCTTGAAGGAGGTGGAACAAATTGGCCATTGTGTTCGTGCGTGCATGCATGTGTGTGCTGTGTATGGTTGTATTCTGCTGACTGGAGGTGTGGATCCTGGAGCTGTTGTGTGACTTCAGGTCCTGACTGTGTTTCGCCTCTTCCCTGCATCATGACCGGCAGGCTGGAGGCAGCACAGCTGGAAGGGAGTGATGAGGGGAGAGGGCAGTCGTTGTGGATGAAGTCAGTGAATTTTGTTCACTACACATAAAATTGCATTCCTTTGTTGAATTTTAGGTCATTCAAAAAGTCTTCAAGATTTTATTCACAGCAAGGAATAATGACAGATGTTTGCAAAGACAGTTGCTGCTGCTTTTCTATACAGTTTTCAGCAGGTCCCCATCTGTCCTCTACAGGCACATCCGTGTGATTCCCTGGGCAAACTGACTTGGCTTTTCTGATGCCCCACAAAACTTCTCTCTAGAATTGTCATATGCTGTTTATGCCTTAAAATGTCACCTACTTAATGATATAAAGCATGTCAGTCAGTGGCTGATTTTTTTAAGATTCTATTTATTTGCAATGCTCCCTCTTCCCTTTGCCTCTGGAAATGCAGTCCCACTGCACCTGTGACCGGGCCTGTCTGTGTTCAGGGGCACCAGATCGTTTCAGTTTCACCTTATCCTTGTTACCATGCAGCCATGTATTTCTAATACAGTTTCACACTGCCTGCAAAATTGGCGCTTCATGTACTGTTAACCTTGTAGAGAATATGTTTGCTTTTCAGAATTCAGCAGCATCCCATTATGATACAACACGGATTCAGTATACCAGCAGCAGGTGGCAGCAATGTCATCTCCTCCACCCCTCAGCTGTAGTGCTATTGGTTCATCATAGGGGCATTCGGCGCTAACTTCCAGTGCCAGCATTAGAAAGCAGCCGTACGATCTTCCTAGGGAACTTAAACTCTTTATGCTTTTTGGATTTCAATTTGAGAGAGTGAGTTAATACAGAAGCATTTTTGCTTTCAAAAAGTTTTGTTTTCTCCTTGCTTTCCCAGTGCTGACATCAGACAGTGCAAGTTTTACTTCATTCCTTGGGCCAGGACAAAGTCACTGGAATAAGAAGGGAACAACCATTATAGGACCAAATGCCTTCTCATTATTATGCATATGTTTTGTTTTTTGTTGGTTTGAGGGGTTTTTTTTTTGAGCTGGGCTCTCGCTCTGTTGCCCAGACTGGAATGCAGTGGTGTGATCGAAGCTCACTGCATCCTCGACCTCCTGGGCTCAAACAATCCTTCCATCTCAGCCTTCCAAGTAGCTGGACTACAGGTGTGTACAATCACAGCCTGGCTTATTTTTTAAATGTTAAAAAATTTTTTGTAGAGACAGCGTCTCTCCATGTTGCCCAGGCTGAGTATGCTTTTTAAAGATGACTCTGACCAGCTCTTACCGGGAGACAGTCGTAGATTTGTTGTGCTTTGATATAAAGATAAATAAGAATGAGACTATCTAAACAATGTGAAAATGAAATGCTTTCATCAATAACTTTTTTTTTTATTAATCAAGACACAATTCTGTGGGAAATAGTGTTACTAGGTTTGCAGGCATTTGCACGCCTTCTGTGTTTTGTTCCCCCCTCCCACCCATTCCTTCTGTTAAGATGGAAGGAACTGGCTGCTGCCTGGCTGGAAGTGTTCTGAGTGAACTCAGAGCTGGATTTATGGAGTTTCTGTTTCAGCAGCTGTGGATGGGCTGTTTCACTTTTGTAAATGTGACTGTTAGAAGCCCAGCAGGTGCCTTCGAGTTACAGTGTTTGCATCTCTTCTTTCAGGGAGATGACAGTCTGTCTGCAGTCACCTTTGACTCTGACTTGGAGACGGTGAGTGCTGCTGGGTGTCCACCGTGCCTCCCGGGGCTGGTTGCGCTGCCCTTGCCAACGTCACTCAGATGCGTGAAATAGGCCGCCCTCCATAATACTGTGTGATGAGATGGAATGCAAATTCTGAATGCTACTTGGTGTTTGAATAGTCTCCATCCCTTAGTTGGATTTAAATACCTGTGGTGATAACTTTATAACCTTTATCCAGAAATGAACCCTGAGCAGAGTTCACGTGAGGCTGATTGCTGGTCCCTGGCCTGCAGTTGGTTTTGCCCGATACCACCCACCCCATCCTGACACTTGAGGGGAGGAGGGGATCTCCTGCCGATGCCATCAGAAGGACCTGATGGTAGAAAGCAGGCCAGGGCAGCTGCAATCCCAAGCTGAGCCTCGGCCCGGCCTCCCAGACCAGAAGGGAGAGGGGCCGGAGCACTGTCCGATGGCCGAGTGGCACACTATGGCCCTGGACCTGGGCTTTGGGTTTGTTTGGCAAGCTGTGCTGGGTAGAAAAGGAAGCGTGCTAATTGCTCTTATCGTGTGTGAGCAAAAGCAGCTTTTCTTACTGCAGGCACAAATCTAGCCGCACTGCAGCCGGCAGCACGAACCCAGCGCTGGCAGATCTCGGTTCCACGTTTGCTCTGTGGACTCAAGGGGGAGTCTCACAGGTCCACTGTCTCCCTCCAGGGACCTCTGTCTGCAAAGTTAAGGATTTTCCCTCCATGTCACAGAGGGCAGGGGATGCTCCCCAGAGGAGGAGGGATCCAAAAACTCCTGGGGAAAATTCCCACATGCAGAACCTGGGGCTCGCTATTTCTGCTGGAGGGGAAGTGAGAAGACCTGGCCGCAATGTCTCTACCTGCTCGGTCTAGTGCGGGGTAAGAGAAAGTTAAAGTTGGAATCGTTGCAGCATCTTCCCCAGGCCATGGCAGGACAGGCTGAGTGTCCTGATCCGAAATCCAAAATGCTCCAAAAATGGAAGCTTTTTGAGCACCCTCATGAGGCCACAAGTGGAAAATTCCACACTTAAGTACTTAACACAAGCTTTGTTTCATTCACGAAGTTATTAAAAACACAATATAAAATTCCTTTTGGGCTATGTGTATAAGTAGATATGAAACATAAATGAATTTTCTGTTTAGACTTGGGTCCCATCCCCAAGATACCTCATTATATGGATGCAAATATTCCAAAATCCAGAACACTCTTGGTCCCAAGGATTTCAGATACGGGACACTCACCCCGCAGGAAACAGTGGAACCAGATCTGGACCCCGTTCTGTGTTTAGCATTGTGGTTGTCACAGGAGACCACCTTCCAGACAGGGTCTCCCTTTGCTGGGCCTTTTTCCTTAGTGGGCTTTGTAGTTGACTATCTGCAGGAATTTCCTCCCATCCCATCCACCCGAGTGGACAGGTGTGCCCTGGGGCTCCCGAGCCAGCTGAGCGGACGGTGTGGGGGGGGGGCAGATACACCATTAGTGTGGGATCCTCAGTCTGAATGTCGGGAGCCCAGGCCTGATTGTTTTCTGTGACTGGAACTTGCCCAGCCCTGAGCACTGGTGCGAGTGCATTTTTCTTGGGTCTGCGTCAGGCCCTGTGTATCCTCCTGTGCCTTGACTCTCCTTACGTCCCCGTGAGCTCATGTCTTTTCTCTGCTCTTACACGCCCCCTGACCCTTTCTGAACACGGCAGGTCTTGTGACTGAGGCCCTGGTGGGAGCTCAGCAAGCTCAGCAAGGCTTATACCGTTTCTTCTGTCTTTCAGAGAGCAAAAAGGAAAGCATTCCACAAACCTCCACCCACATCGCCAAGTAAGTATGACCGGGCCTGCCTTCCCTTTCACGCCCACACTCCCTGGTGTCCTGGGGAGAATGAAGGGTGTTTGCTTTGTACATTTAGGTAGCTGAGACCTGCCACCTCAGCCAGTTGGCCCCATTCACGCCAGAGTCTCCCCTGTTGGTGCTGGGGTCTCCGGGAACACCGTGCTCCTGGAGTCCCTGCCAGTGCCAGGGTAACGAGCGCTTCCTCCCGCCACCACCCCCCAGTCTCCCTCCTCCACAGTGCCTCTAGGCCTTTTGTTTTCTTTTTCTTACTTTCTCAAAGTGCTTACCTCTTCTGAATGCTGCCAGAATGAAAGGATTTTTGACCTGGGATTTGTTCCTGAGAGTCAAAGCTACTGATAAGGTGTAGTCGGTCCAGGACGGATGTAAAGTTCACCTTTTTTTCCGCCTTTGGATCGCCCTGGGCTTATTTTGCTACCAGCGTTCTGTTCTTCCTCACCCTCTGTGGGAGGAGGGCAGCTTTGGTTACCCTGCCCGTCCTGGGCTACCCCAAAGTCTGTGGCCTTCCCTGGCTGTGTCATCTCTAGATATGTGTCTATTTTATATATACTTATATATTTCAAACATTGAGTCATGTATATGACGCACTCAGAGAATATAAACAAACTTTCCTACTGGCCCAAGGAAAGCGTAATTAGAAAGGTAAATTCCTGCAACGAAAAGAATGCATGTTATATGTTACAAATCAATATCAACACTAGAAGGACATCATCTAGCAATTTGAATATTTAATGTCCTTTCTCTCCTTCCATGGAGAACATTGAGAACTGATACAAAGTAAAAGGCCAGGATCAGGAGCGCCTCCTGACTCACACTGGGGACCTGTTTTTCTATCTGGGTTTCTGGTGCCGTGAGTGTAGGGACCATGTCTGTCCTGCTCACATAACAACTGTGTTTTTCTGGAATGCCTGGTCAATCTACTTGTAGGTTTGCAGCTTCCACCACGTTCCGAGATTTCCACCCTCCTGGTCACTCTGTGAGGAGGACGAGGCAGGCGATGATGTTAAATTCTTTCCGAATTTGTCATTTTCCAGGCAGTATCAAACACTGGCACCTCTCCACCACCCTGTCTCTGTCCTCACTTCTTCCCTCCTGGGTCTCACTCTGTTACCCACGCTGGAGTGCAGTGGTGTGATCATGGCTCACTGTAGCCTCAACCTCCTTGGCTCAAGCAATCCTCTCACCTCAGCCCCCTCGAGTAGCTGGGCCCACAGGCGTGAGCCACCACACCCAGCTAAATTTTAGATTTTTTGTAGAGACAGGGTCTTGTTGCATTGCCCAGGCTGGTCTTGAATTCCTGGCCTCAAGCAATTCTCCTGCCTTAGCTTCCCAAGGTATTGGTATTACAGGTTTGAGCCACCATGCCTGGCCCCATTATACTATATTTCTTTATAATAAAAGTTAAAGGAGAAACGTCAGTATATATGTTAAGTAAGTATTTTTTTCTTTCTTTTTTGAGATGGAGTCTTGCTCTGTCTCCAGGCTGGAATGCAGTGGCACCATCTCAGCTCACTGCAATCCCCGCCTCCCAGTTCAGGGGATTCTCCTGCCTCGGCCTCCCTAGTAGCTGGGACAACAGACATGCACCACCAGGCCCAGCTAATGTTTTGTATTTTTAGTAGAGACGGGGTTTCACCATGTTGGGCAGGATGGTCTTGAACTCCTGACCTCTTGATCCTCCCGCCTCACCCTCCCAAAGTGCTGGGATTACAGGCGTGAGCCAACTCGCCTGGTAAGTAAGTATTTTTTCATTTTTGCCAGTGTTTGACTAGAATCACTCGCCCTTGTGGACGTTTTGTTTTCTCATTTCTGTCTTTCTGAAGCTCGTGTGTTGAGCATGTGTTGCTATCCGGCACCTCTGAATCCACGTGTTGGCTTTTCTAGAGTCGCCTTACCTCTCTAAGCCGAGAAAAGTGGCCTCCTGGAGGTCCCTGAGGACGACAGGGAGCATGCCTCTGAGCGGTCGAGCGTCCCTGACCCCGCAGAAGCTGTGGCCAGGAACTGCAAAACCAGGTATGTGGTTGCTGCACTGGAGGCCCTTCCTGCTTCAGAGAAGAGTTTGAGAAATGTCAGCGAGCAGTGGTTTGAGATGGAGTTTTTCATATTCCTTGAATTACATTGTCTTTAATGTTCTCAATGACGTTGAATATACACATCGTAGTTTTACGTCATGCATAAATGTGGTTTTGCCAAGTGATGCCTTAGCCTCCCTTGGTCTTGTGTGGCCTCTGCGTGGGCGTGGTGAGTAGGAGCCGGCTCCAACGGTCTTGCCAGAGCCAACTGTTACAGTCTTAGGAGTTTTGTGGGCTGGCTAGTGTCATGGTGACAACCTAAAATTAGACATGGTAGAAATATTTATACTGTGGAAACGGGCAAATACTGTAGTCAGGACTTCATTAATTTCTATTTGGGAGCTGGTTGTTAACCATTTACCAGCACACCACTGACAGCTGGTGTCTACTAGCGATGAAGCTTTCTTTAAGCCAGGAAAGTTGATTAGAAACAAAACTTCCCACTGCATGTGCTTGTACCTGTCCTATTAAACCCATGCACATTCAAACCAGGAAGTCTGACACCAGCCCTGAACTCACAGCTCACCTGGGAGCATGCGTGGACCAGCGCCCCCAGCGGCACTTCTGACTATCTGACAGACGCCTTAAGAGTGAAGAGGCCACATCTCAGGCGCTCTGCCAGCCACGGTGAGCATGCCAATAGTGGCGAGGCCGAGGCTAAGGCAGAGCGAAAAGAAAGCACAGTCTCTGGCCTGGAGGTGTCCTTTGTCAGAGTGGGATTTCTGGCTTTGTATGTGAGCTCCGTCAGTGGGAGGTTTTGGGAGGTCAAGGGAACAGTGACTCACAAAAGCCCGTCTGCCCCAGAAGGTGGCTTTCCTCGTGGGTGCAGGGACGTCTTGCCAGGTGTTATTTGTGCCTCCCTCCCTAAACATAGAGGCTTACTTAAATTTATTCATTGAATAAATGATAGTAGGAACAAATAATAATAAATAAATAATGATAAAAAGTCCAAATTGCACTGAAGAGAGTCAGCTTGTTTCTGTGTTTATGTTCCTGTCTAGCCCCCTTTTTTTTTTTTTTTTTTTTTTTGTGTGTGTACAGACAGGGTCTCGCTATGTTGCCCAGGCTGGTCTCAAACTCCTGGACTCAAGTGATCCCCCCATCTTGGCCTCCCAAAGTCCTGGGATTATAGGTGTGAGCCACCATGCCTGGCCTCTCTCTTTATCCACGTTTCCCACTTATCCTCCTTAAGGAAGAACAGCTTCCAGGGAGTATTGAAAACCTCCTCACTATACCCCACGAATTGATTACCTTCTTGCTTTTACTGGTTAGGAGTTATCTTTTAGGCTTACATTTAGATATTTAATATACTAGGTATCATTAAAACCAAAATAAGCCTGACTTTACATTGGAATGGGTGTTGAGATACTATGTGCATTTTTTGTGTTTGGCATTTGTTTTGCTATTAAATCTGAACATGTCCCTCCGCCTTCTGTGAGTCCCTTCTTTCATCCTTTTACTGTCCTTAAACTTGGTCTTTGCATCTTCATTTATTCACTTTTTGCTTTGTCTTTCTATAGAGAAAGAAAACCATTTTTGGTTTTCTTGCTTTTTGGGAAAGTATCATGATCAGGCTAACAAACATGGAATTATTTTTGCTTTTTTATTTTCTTCTTTTTTAAAAGGAAATGTTATTAACTTCCAGTTTTTCCTTAAAGTATAACCAAGAATTCTTTCTACTTTTTAGATAGTCTTTTAAAAGATTTCTCTGTTTTTCTGTAGGTCATGTCCCTGGGACTCCTGTCTACAGAGAGAAAGAAGATATGTATGATGAGATTATCGAGTTAAAGAAGGTAGCATTTCGGTTTGTTCTCTATTGATTTGAAACAGTGAAAGCCTCCTGTGACAATCGATTGGGACATCAGTGCCTGTGCTGGGAGGTGCCCACGTGGGATGCGCGGGAGCATTAGGATCGAACCTGAGTCTTAGCCATGGCGTAGTGCCCTAGGAGCTGGGTGTTCCTGGTTGAAGGCTGTAGCACCAGCACGTAAAAGGCAGCAGAGCTCAAGTTCTCCATGTGCTCTGCTTCTCCAGCCTAATGGGGAAGACTGGATGAGGACTAGATTCACGTCCCATTGCGTCCTGAGATTGGGTGCTGTGATAGGGTCACTGATATAGTTATCAGTAACCTTCCAGGCATGTCATGTTTTCATGTTATCAAGACAGCTCACGTGTCCTATCTCAGTTGCCCTCTACAGGAGCTCTGTGGATAGGCAGGGCCACGTGTCACAACCACCATCTGCTGATGAACTTGAGACTCAGAGACATTAGTGGTCTGTCCAAGCTTAACCAGTAGCAGAACCAAGATTCAAGGTCACCTGCCTCCCAAGGCCAACACTCTGTATTACTCCATGGCCCCTCCCATTCATGAAAGCATGAACTGCATTGAGCTATACCATCACTGTCACTGCCACCAGCACCATTACCATCACCCTGACTTTCAATATCTGTAAATGTCTGCCCCCAGAGAAGTTATTTGCATTCATTTCCTTCCATAATTTTGGTCTGTTTACAGACCTACTGTCTCTACCAGTTGATGTGTGTCCGAAGCACTGCGTTCAGTTGGGGCACCAGAGGGCAATAGGGTATTGGCAGTCTCACCCCAGAGCATGGGGTATCTGGAAGGGAGTCTGGAAGCCATTTCCCCTGGGGATCCGGGAAGAAACTGGGGAACCTGGTATAGGCCACTGTACAAAAGACAGCGCCTTCTCTGTTGGCCAGAGAGAACACTCAGACTTGAGGCTATGTGAGGGCACTCTAACCATGAGAGCTGTCTGACAGCAGCAGTGCTCCCTGAGTAAGTGTACACCCTGGCCTTCGAGATGTTGAGCAAGGTGACAGCTACGTGTCAGGAGTATTACAGAGGGGACCCTCATTCCGGGCGGAAGTCAGCACTGAATTAACTCAGGTGTGGATTGAGGGGATTATCTCGTTTGGGTTTTCTCAGCGTCTTGAATCTGTAGGTTTGTCTTTGTCAAATCTGGGACATTTTCAGCCATCCAATCTTGAGATGTTTTTTTCAGCCTCGCCCTCTTCGATGCCAGTTGCTCAGGTCCCTGCTCTGTGTTCAGTGTTTCCTCATCTCCCCTTGTGAAGATTGGATAACTTCATGGTTCTGATCTCGAGCTCACAGTTGCTTTCTGTTGGCCTCTGCATCCTGCAGTTGAGCCTGTTGCTGGGTGCAACCTGACCGTCCTTACTGTCTCTGTTCATTTCTGAAATCTCTGTGCGGCTCCTTCTGTCTGGGTCTTCACTGTGATGCCCGCCCTGACCCTTCCTTGTTTCAAGCGTGCCTGTCATCGGTCACTGGAGCATCTTTGTGGCAGCTGCTGTAAGTCTGTGGGGGATTCTAATGTCCGGCCATCTCAGTGTTGGTGCTGTGGCTTGTTTTTCCTCATTCAGGTTGAGCTATTTATTCTTGGTGCTTAGAATCACAAGTGATTTCCCTTGAAACCAGGATGCTCTGAGGGTTTCGTCTCGAGACTCTAGCTCTTGCTCAATCCTGTGCTGTGGCAGGCCTCCTGCCACACTGCCCTGTGGGTGAGGGGGGCACTGCTGCGTTACTACCCGCCGGGGTGGAAGTCTAGCTCCTACTCAGCCATCATCAACACCTGCTCGGGGGTGAGGGGTGCTCCTCATTCCTGCTGGGCTGGGTGGGAGTTCCGGCCGCTCACTCAGCCTTTGCTGATGCCGCCCGAGCTGGGAGGGAAGGGCCGCCTTGCACAACTCCCACTCAGCATTTGCTGATGCAGGAGTGGCCTTGTTGCTGCCAGGCGATGATGATCCCGACTGTCCACGGTCTCCTCTGGAGCCCTGCCAATGCAGGAGGGGAGGGTCCCTGGTACAGCCGGGCAGCGGTGAGCCTGTGCTGCGGGGAGGCCTGCGGCGTTTTCTATGGGCAGCCTGGGGGAGAGCGGTTCCTGGCTCAGTTTCTGTGTTGGTGTGTTCTTTTCCCTGTCCTCTGGATGGAGAGAAGAGGCTTTGCTTGGGCTTTTGTTGTCTGTGCCCATTGGCTTTTTTAGGCTGTTGGCTTCTCCAGCATCCAGCCCAGACGAGGCAGGCAGAAAATGAAGGAGCTCCCTGCTGTATCAATCGTTGGCCCCCAGCTTCCGGCCCGTCTGCCTCCTTCTCCACCTTTCCGGTCTTATGTTGTATGACACACGGAGTGCAGCGTGTTTAGTGGCACTGACAGGAGGAATTGGGAGGAGTGAATCTACTTCATGCTCCTGGAGGTGGCAGTCCCGTTACCAGAGCGCCAGTCTTTGTCAATGGCTGGGCCTTCACTAATTTACTCGACGAGCACTCGAGTGCTGGCTGCCATTATGCCTCTTGAATCTATGGGTTTGTCTGCAGCGATCCTGGAGTCTTACCAGTTGTGGACGTGGCTGAAGTGCTGAGCCACCCCATGGGGCGTGCTGTCAGATTGCCTTTTGCTCAGAAGTCCAGTCTCTGGAGCACCAGAGTCTTTTGCAAGGAGAAGGCGGTTTGTGAGGATGACTGGTGGTTAGATGCAGGCTGAGGCTGGGAGCCAGTGAGCTGCGTGCGGCACAGCCCAGCCTAGGCGCTATTTCTTTTCTGGATTTTATCTACCACCAAAGTCCAAAATAATAGGAAGAACATAATTTCAAAGTACAGTGCTGGGATTACAGGCATGAGCCGCCACGCCCAGCCCCAACTACAGTCTTTTTTGTCCCCCTCAGGTCACCACAAATTGGTAAAGAATTTGTCCACAGATNGTTTTACCATGTAGGCCAGGCTGGTCTCCAACTCCTGACCTCAAGTCATCTGCCTGCCTCAGCCTCCCAAAGTGCTAGGATTACAGGCATGAGCCGCCACGCCCAGCCCCAACTACAGTCTTTTTTGTCCCCCTCAGGTCACCACAAATTGGTAAAGAATTTGTCCACAGATAAAGATTGGGAAGCACTGCCTTCCACCTGAGCCGTAGTTGAGGATAAGCATTTGAAGTGCATATTAGCCTTGGATGAGTTTTATTGATTAAAATACGACCATGGTGGACGTTCTCGTATGGACCTGGGAGAGAGCGTGTGGTGTGACCCATCCAGCCCTGGGGTTGGTGCTATTTGTTTGCTGGTGCATTCTGTGGGACGGGGTTTCTCGGCACGGGTGCTCTTGGTATCTTGGATGGGAGAGTTCTTCTCTGAAGGGGGTTTCCTGCCTATCCAGCCTCCCCTGTCCTCACCCACTAAATGCCTGTCGTGCCTTCTAGTGCCCTCATGTGACATCCAGATCTCCCCCCAGCCACCACACATAGCACCCTGAGTGGGAGCCAGGCAGCTTTCCAAGTCCCCCAGCTCAGTGTTTCCCTGGGCCTGTGCATCGTTTATGCGGCGTGTGTGCAGCAACATGTGTGCATGGCTGTGTGCACGGTGGCAGTGTGTGCATGGCTCTGCACATGGCTGTGTGCACAATAGCGTGTGCATGGCTATGTGTGCAGTGGCGTGTGTGTGGGTGTGTGCATGGTGGAGGCGTGTGTATGGTTGTGTGCATAGGTGTGTGCACAGTGGCAGCGTGTGCATGGCTGTGTACACAACGGCATGGGCATGGCTGTGTACATGGCGGCGTGTACATGGCTGTGTGCGTCGTGGCATGTGTGTGATGTGTGCACAGCGGCATGTGCATGGCTGTTCATGGCCTTCTTTTCTTCAGACATTGCACGTGCAGAAAAGTGACGTGGACCTGATGAGAACAAAGCTCCGGCGCCTGGAAGAGGAAAACTGCAGGAAGGACCGGCAGATAGAGCAGCTCCTGGATCCCAGCCGAGTAAGCTCCTGGTGCTTCACTGGTGGGGGGGGGGGCCCTGTTGCCTTGGGACATCTGCCAGCCAGTCCTGCTGGGGGCCACACTGAAGGCCGTCTTCATGTCTCAATCTGCTTACCACAGGGCACAGATTTTGTTCGGACTCTGGCAGAGAAAAGGCCCGATGCCAGTTGGGTGAGTATGGTCTCCATAAGATGAAACCTTTCCCCAGATGCTAGTTACCACGGACAGCCACAGTGGAGATGCCTTTCCCTGCAGCACCCATGGTGGAGAGTAGCAGGCAGGGGAGGAGGCTGTGGGTCCTGAAACCCTTCTCCGCTGACACCTGGCGACACCACGGGGAGGGGGCCAGGAGGCTCACCACAGAGGCTAAGCAAGACACTATAGGAAAGACCAGTCACAATGGGCGACTTCCCCCTTCACACCTAAGAAAATACATTATGCTTAACAAGTGCTTCCAGCACCTTTCGAGGCCAAGGCAGGAAGATCACTTGAGGTCAAGAGTTCAAGAGCAGCCTGCCCAACATGGTAAAACCCCATCTCTACTGAAAATACAAAAAAAAAAAAAAAAAAAAAAATAGCTGGGTGTGGCAGTGCACTCCTGCAATCCCAGTTACTTGGGAGGCTAAGGCAGGAGAATCGCTTGAACCTGGATGGTGGAGGTTGCAGTGAGCTGAGATCACGCCACTGTACTCTAGCCTAGACAACCAAAAAAAAACAAAAAACAAGTGCTGCAGATGTAAAACGGGGAACCAGGGCAGCAATAAAGTCCTTCAGATAGATCCAGATCCCCTCCGATACTGTGTAACAATATGTAAAAAGTTGAGTGAAATGGAAGGAGGGAAGATGGAGCCATTACATGGGTAATGGTGTGGTAATAAACTGTAGTGCCTGGGGAAAGATATATCACAATAAACTTCCTAGGAGTCAAGGAAGTACTTTTTTAAAGTGGGAAATGCTGGAAGAAAACTGGGAGGGATATAATTTTGAGATTATTTAACATAAAGTATAAAATAATAATGATGTGATTAATGGATTCAACAATATAAAATTAAAAGTTACATAATAAAAACCCATGGGACTAAGAGCCACCAAATCACTGTAATGGGGGAGGGGAAGAATATTATGGATCAATACAACAAAGTTTTCTGTTTAGAATATAGAAAAAACTGTAAATCTCTAAAGAAAAAAGCCATCTCCCCTGAACTATGTTGCAGATACAGAATATAGAAAGATTGTACAATTATTGCATATTTAAAGTAGATGGTTAAAGCCTGGTTCAGCACCTAGGATGGCACAAAGTAAATCCTGAACAAAGGCCTGTAACTAATGGGTACTTTTATAAAGAATGGGCTTCAATTTTTGTTGTTCTGGTGCTGTGTGTGTGTCTGTGTTTTTGTTTTTTTTGTTGTTGTTTGTTTGTTTTTTGTTTTTTTGAGACAGGGACTTACTCTGTTACCCAGGCTCGAGTGTAATGGCAGGATTATGGCTCACTGCAGCATTCAGCTTAGGCGATCCCTCGCTCAGAGGATGCTGTCACCTCAGCCTCCTGAGTAGCTGGGACTACAGACAACCGCCACCACACCTAGCTAATCTTTTTTTAGTTTTGGTAAAGATGGGAGTCTCGTGAAGTTGGTCAGACTCATGTGGTCCTTCTGCCTCGGCCTCCCAAAGTGTTGGGATTACAGGCCTGAGCCATCATGCCTGGCCAGTTTTTTAAAAATTAAGGTTGATTTAAAGTAGGAAGTCTAGATCCTAGGGTATATGCAGTATTCATTATAATATGGCAAATTGTCGTCAGAGTGGCTGTGCCCTGTGGTCTGCCATTTCTGCTTGTCATCACCTGCCTTGAAGAAACGTTTGCAGATGTGCATGAGGAGGCCTGGCCAAGGATTTCGAATGGAGGATTGATCATAATCACAAAAATGGGCTACAACTTAAGTATGTGTCAGTAGGCTACAGTGATAGATTTTGGAGCATCCCACAGATACCGTGGGATGTTTCCTGCTGTGGGAAATAGTGTGGATTCATAGGCGCCAGCAGGGACAGAGCACCAGGAGGGTGTGTTGAATGTTAATTTTTAAAAAATAATAAATTTTTTAAAAAGATGCAGAGGGATGTGCATGGCAGAGCCTCGTTTCTGTGAGAACAGACGGCCCGACTCCCTGGGCGCACACACACAGGCAGGTACAGAACCGAGTGCTGAGGGGCATGCAAGCGGAAACAGGATTTGGTTGGTCAAAGAGGAGGGTGGCCAGTTCAGAGTATCTTAGCTTCTACAACGTCTTCAGTTTTTTTGTTTTTTGTTTTTTGGTGGTGTTTTTTTTTTTTTTTTT